ATTGTCAGATTGGCCGTTCTCCAGACCCTTGAGTAACCTACTGTAATGAGTAGCCATCACCATTGACATCCTATGTTTCACTACCTTGGAATGCCATGCTCACCATCTGTTCATTTTTCACAGTAGGACTACCCTCGGGGATAGCAGCTCACTGGTGAAGTCACTTACCACTGCAGTAGGTGGATCCTGCATGAGGATCTGAATGCGTACGAACGGTTGATTCTCTGACTATATCCCTGAGCAGAGTGTCTGGGGCCACCGACACAACAGCAGTATCTACTCCGTCACAGACTTCAGTCCATGTCCTGATGTTCCACGGTCTATTCACTCGCAGTAGCACAAAGGTTAGCTCCACGAAAGCTGAGACGGGCGCAGCAAGCGCCTCTGTATCAATGAACCCTCCCAAGCTAGCCGTGATGAGTACAGTCCTGACCACGATTCGAAAAGGGTGAGCGTCGAGAGGGACTGGATGTCTACCTGACCCGTCAGTTAATGACCCTGGACCAGCGGGAATCAAGAAAAGCCGGTTGATCCAGACTCCTCTGTCTGCTGGGCTACAGAAAGCCGCCAAACGTACAATGTCATGATGTGTCTCTGCCATCGCTATAAGAAGCTGATGGGTGAGAAACTGACTCGTGCGTTCCACTTGCATGAGGTCTCTGTCAAGTGTGTTGTCTAGTAACTGCAACCCGGACGTCTCGTCCGGAAATAGTATGACAAAACCACTCTGCAGAAGTTTGACTGTACGGCGCAGGTCTCTTAAAGTATTGGTCAATTCCTGGACAGCTTCCAGGCCATGCATAAGCATTCTGACCGACGATGGTACTTGATAGCGATCATGTCTGAAGCGCGCATAGGCCATGAGTCTTGCGGATGAGGAAGAGTTATCTTTCAGGAAAGATGTGTCAATGATTAGAGAGATGTTCAACACAACGGATGGCCTAATCCAGGGGCTGAAGAAGGGAGTATCTCCTGAGTTATTGTGCTGGTCAGCAACAACATGACTAACACCACTCTGGGCTACTGTCTCACTGTATCAGCCAAACACACTACACCAGGCATGTGCGAAAGGTCATGGACACAGATCTTAACGTGGCAAGTTTTAACAGATTTAAATGCTACAAAAAACTGATGTGAGCATCCTAGTGATACCACTCGCTGCCCTGCTTTTTTCGGAGGAGCGATCTGGCGTCTCCAACGGTATCCTGGGGCAATGCCAATGGCTGTAGTGGTGCAGGTTACCCAGCAAACAGCGCCGCATAGGCTTCACTGAGCATCTGCCAACTCTGCTGTACCTGATAAATAGCTCTGTTTGCTTCATGAATCGAGTCATTATGCTGTTTCTGCAATAGAATGATCCTTTCGCTGAGATGGAAAATTCTTTCTTCTTCACTGGTGCTGTTGGGGAATTTCGCAGCAATTGCATCACGGCAGGTTTGGGATTGCCGAAAGTCAAAAGATGAACGATCATCCTCGTGAATCGCTCGGTTAATTCTTGTGCGGTCTGTGAGAGCAATCCCATCTGCCTGGGGGGCATATACCTCGATGCGGTTTCCCAACAGGTTGTAAGCGTGCATAACTTCTGCAATAATAGCACATTGTTGGGTACTTCGCGCTACGATGGCAAAGCGGCGTGAATTCGCCCAACAAGCATAACCATAGTGTCGGATCTCAGCTGCGAAGGGGTAAAAGCCTCTACCGGCTACCTCCACCCACTCCTGAAGGTACTCCTCATCAGTGTCATGGGTGATGACCTTATGAAAACCGTGGGGTAGGCGTTCTCGCGAGAGCACATTCCCGTCCGGTGGGAGCCATGTCTCATCATCCGCCCACAGGATGTTCCACTTCTCCATTTGGATCCATACCCATGCCTCTAGCAGGTTGAAAGGCACACACCCTATTTCAATATTTTTGCAATGTCGGTGCATTGGAAAATTTCCTCGATGCAAGCACACCATAGTATTGGAGTTGTTGACAATGGGATCGATTGTGTAGCCCTTCCAGTGGTAATTCTCCAGGAACGTAAGTGACGGCAATGCCATGGCTAGGACAGAGCTTTGTGGTGTACGGTGATGTACCCTTGTCATGTCTCCTCCAGAAGAGATACAAGGAAAGTCAATTAATCAGGGGTCATGTTATCTGGCGTTTGTAATGGCTGCAGTGTGCTTGTAAAACAGTCATGGACCCTGACAGGTGCAACCCGACTCGTCTACGGTCAGAGGAGCACCGTGTACAGGTAGTTGTGTTGCATGTAATAACACGTGTAGCCATGATTGGTAGTGGACACCGGAAATATGAGACACTCGCGGTCACAAGGAAGCTGCTGACTTGAAACGACTTCTGGACTGCACAGCTTCAAGAGAATAACACTAATCCTATTCTTTTCAGCACACAGCCTGCACACTTCAGTGGATGCGAATCTTCTTACTGGTGCTGGGAGCCACAGAAGGACAAAATGGTTGCACCAGTAAATGCCAACGTTAGAATAAACTAAGGCAAGCTTAACGTGCAGCCGATCAAGTGATGCAGTTTCATAGAAGTGTTGTGCAGTAACTCAGCAATGTTGGTTGGAACACATAATATGATTTATGATGAGAAATCCTCAGATACAGACCAGTAGTTCAAGGGTTAATGCCGTTTTTAAGTGGTCTATATAATCCCGTTGGTACAGAAAATACTGTAAAAAGTCAATACGCGTTCACTTTCCTGCTACGGCAGTCACTGATAAAGAGGGCACTCTGTACACTGTTATGGCTCGGAATTGAAATTCGAACCAAGCTCCTCTTTCCTTCGTGGATGCCAGTGTTGCATGATATCTTTCTGTGCAGCCGCCACGTCTGTTGCTCGCTCTTTCTGATAGGAGACTGCGCTTCTTTCTAATTGCTCCAGCGCCTGCTGTGCTCTAGTAATATCATTCAGTAGATGCTGTGGAGCACCCAGGAGGGTTTGCACTGTTGGGGCAGCTTTATTAAGAGTCTCAGCTGCTTCAGAAGCCGTTTCTCGCAGCAGACTGCTGATAGTGTATTCGCTGATGGCTGCCGCCATTCGGATCAACTTGGCCTCCTCCATGGCTTCAGGGCTGACTCTGATGAGCTACTGTTGGTGAAAGATATCGCTATATAGACGCGTCAGTCAGTACAGGAAGAAGGAATTCTCTCTCTTAAAATGGGGTGACTGCTGGGTGGGTAATTACAGTAGATGCCTGTCAGGTGAAACCCCGACACGTCTATGGCCGGAATAGCACCGTGTACAGGCAAACTACCGAGTGGAACATCCTAAATACGACATAGGCGGTACCACCTACACCAACATTCTAGTGGACACCCGAGAAGTTGATTGGAAAGGCTAACATCTTGTTGGGGCGAGGGCCCGGTCCTCGGATCAAATCTCAATTAATGACGTACTCAGATATTGCCTGTTTCTCAGGGCACTTTTGCCTCATTACGATTGACGGGGGGCTTACCACAGAGAAATGCACCTGAGTTGCTGGCAGGCGATGGGTCATCACGGCAGATTTTAAAAAGGACGTTTGTCTACATTTGAGCCTGAGTGGCATGTTGCTAGCGCAAATAGCGCACCAAGCAAGGCAATTGCCTAGTTCCGTCAATTCTACGAGTAGGGCGATAATTGGCTGGATTGTGTGGTAATGTAGAAGGATTTCTTTGCTTGACTGTACAAGAAGGGCTTGCCCATATTAGACTAATAGAACATGGGAATAGGACAGAGAGTTTCACTTTGCAACAAGTCAAAAGCCTGGAGCCCTTTTGGTACTCATCACACATCGTATTGGCCAATGGATCTCGCCATACCACAGAGTGCCCACTACTAATCGAACAGGGGGGGCACTAATGGCCCGCTCATCCCTTAATTAAATTGAACGAGAGATATGTAAATAGAAGCATCAGTTAGCATACGGATAGGGGGTTCTCCCTTACACTGTAGTGACTGTTGGGTGGGTAGTTGCAGTAGATGCCTGACAGGTGGAACCCCGACACGTCTATGGCCGGAATAACACCGTGTTCAGGCAAACTACCGAGTTGAACATCCCAGCTACGAAATAGTCGGTACCAACTGTACTAACATTCTGCGGGCACTTAGAAGTTGATTAAAAAACCTAACATCTTGGTCGGGGCGAGGGTCCGGTCCCAGGATCAAATCTCAATTAATGACGTACTAGGATGTTGCCAGTCACTCATGGCACTTTTGTCTAGTTACAATTGATGGGGGACATTACCACAAGAATTTGCACCTGAGTTGCTGGCAGGTTATAGGTCATTACAGTAGATCTGAAAGAAGACGTTTGTCTACCTTTGAGCCTGGGTAGCATGTTACCAGTGCAAAGAGCGCACCACGTAAGGCAATTGCCTAGCTTCGTCAATTCCACGAATAAACCGATAATTGGCATGATTGCGTGGTGATGTAGAATAATTTCTTTGCTTGACTGTACAATGGGGCTTGTTATTATTAGCCTGATGGAGCATGGGGATAGGAGAGGGAGTTTCGCTCTGCAGGAAGCTTGGAACCCTTTTGGTACTCAGCACACATCGTATTGACCAATAAATCTCGTCATACTCACGGAATGACCACTCCTGACAAATTAGGGGGGGGCACTGATGGCCCACCCATCACTTAAAAATTAAATCAGAACCTTGTCTCAGATTGTCTGTACTGAAGTTGGACACCATCCTTAATATTCATAGTGCATATCGATGTTAGAGCTTTGTCCCTAAGACATTTCGATCAATCTGAAGGAGGGAACACGTTTGCTCGAATATCACGTAGTTCTTCATCTTCATCAGGCGCCAGGTCAATTTCTTGCGGGTAAGTGACAGGGATGAACAACTCTCTTTGTGCAGTGTCAAGTACCTTTGCTAGATGTACTTTGTAGTCGGTGGTCATATGCAGAAGGTCTACCTGTTCTTTGATGCTCTCATCAAGCTTTTGTCGTATATCCCTGGTCATCCAGGGGAGTTGTCTTACCTGCTGCTTGGCTTTGAGCAAGCTATAGTGGGCACTCTGCAGGTTCTCCAGCAAGGCGCTACACACAGCGTGATGTTGGGTGACCTCCTTGATATGGAGGAGCCGTTCTTCATCCATCACCAGCTCAGAGCTGCTCATGTTAAGGGAGCACGCCACAAGACTGTGATTTAGGTTGGCTGTTTCCTCTAGTCAAGTCCATCTAGCCCTGGTGTATTCTGGCAGCTTGGCATGCAAGCTAGCCTAAGAGGTTATGACATACTCAGAAACGGTATAAAAAATCACTCTTGCTCTTAAGGGTACCGTCTGAATTTTGAAATTAGGGAGGACGATGCATGCAGTCTCTTCTTAGTACACATTCGTTAAGCACTGAGGATCACCACTACTTCGCTAGGTATGAAAGAAGATGTATTGAGCCTGGTTGGTCTTTGAGCCATAGTGTCTGCAATTGAACAACACGGTGCATAGGGTTATGGCAGGCAGTAAAATTGGGACTGCAGGAGTAAAAATCAGTTGATGACTCGCAACCTTTGGGCAGCCTGACCAGTTACAGCAAGTCAGGTATGTACACTGTGAGAGCGATGATCTTTTCTTTATTAGCATTGTCCTCACTTTGCACGCAATTATACAATCTATCGTGCTGCTTTTGGGTCACCGCCTAATACTTCATAGCTGTCGGCGGGCTGGTGTTCGACAACGCAATCTCGGTTCACTCGTCGAGCAGGTTGTGTTACTTCGTTGGGCTTGCCATTGATGGAAAAGGATAGATCGCTCTACCATGGTCACTAGGTGCTTCTGTCTAGGAGACGTAGTCAGGGTCTTCTGCATCTGCTCGTTGCCCGGGAGGATAGTGCACGCCATTTCCATCGCCTTGTGGGCCGCAGTCAGGTGTTCTAGCATCTGATGTGTCTCTGCTTTCTTTGGATCAATGGTGGCGATGACTTCTTCAAGTGAACTCTTGATCTTGCTGATTCGAGCGGATTGATCCCAAGAGCGAATATGCTTCCCTTCCTCCTCTGCTTTTAATGCCATGGTTTGCAGTTGAGGGGGAGAAATGTGCCCACCATCACTCATAGAACTCAGTACGCTCGGGATTGCCTAGATTTGTGGTGCAAAGGCTAGTTTGAGCATACACACTGCAGATGAGCGATCAAAGGGGAAGCTCCACGAAATCCTCAACTATATATAATTGTTGGATGAGAGGAATAGCTATCCAGAAGATGTGATGGGTTGGGTGTCGCTATCGTTAGGATCTTCGATTTTTTTGGCATGCTGTTGATTCAAGTGGTTTCGTGCAGGCAGAATACGCTAATTGTTTTCCGATTCTTGCGTTCGACAACCATGGCAATTGGTAGACACAGCTAGCTTTATTCTAACGCGATGTCCTGCGCCGTTTAGCAGTGCGCTCCACAAAAGTTTCATACCCTGTTGTTGGCGCTTGCGTGTTCCATCGAATTCTACTTCTGTCTTGTGGTATCGCTGGATCAGCTCTGTCTACCTGGTACGGCATTGCAGGCCCATGACCAAGATTATGGCATGCTTCATTCATTGTACCTATGCTTTCCTTTGTCTCTGTCCACAGGTCCTTGATTCGAAACAGCGGAGTTTGTTCTAGTTGGAGCTGCTGGAGCATACTTCGTTCAGCCGTCAAAATAGTTTCTAGGGATACTTCTTTGGGAATCCAGAGCCCGTCGTGCAACCAAATGACAGACTTAAGGTGTACTCGTCTGGTGAGTTCTTTATAAAAGGTTAGCATAACACATTCTTCATACCATTCAAGCACACGAAATGTCGCCCCTTTGTCACTGTTGTGATAGCTAGGTCTTAGTCTAGGCAGATGGGTGCCAACCACTTTACGGGTAGCGCATTCGATTATGGTGCTAAGGTGCACTAACGGTACTGGGCAGGAGAAACCAAGGTCTCGTTCCAGCTTTGCACAGGCAAAAGATGCCCCAGCATTCATCACAATTAGCGGATGTTTCTTGATCGCTAACTGCCGTTGTTCGTGGGGGGCTAGTCCTAACAAGTCATTGATAACTACACGAAGATCAGTGATGGGTGGGAGATGGGAGTCCTGGCTGAGGCGCCTCATGATCTCATAAAAGGAGCCAGCCATGTCAACTTCTTGGTGCGTTCAACCGAACAACAGAAACCGAACTGTGCGCGGAAGTCGCTGTGCACATGGGCCTCGTCCATATAGTCGACCTAGATTGTCCAATGATGTGGGCATGTATTCAACCACGCGCGGTCGAGTGAGATTAGCTGTACTCGCTAGGTAGGCCTCTATTTCGCGCTTGTAGCGCTCAAAAACAGTCTGTGTGAGAAGCTGCCGTACCTGCGGCCATCCATTGCTTGGGAGTTCAGTTAGTAATAGTATGGTCTCTCCGCATGGCCGTTCTTCCAAAACAATGGCTCCAGCTTGCATTGCCATGTGATACGGAGCCGGGGCAGGTACTTCAAAGGGTTGCAATTGGTCCTCCGCAAGCTCAGAAGCAGCACGACTGGCTATTCCCGCCAAATAGTCAGCGATTATATTTGCTTCTCTGGGACGGTACATCCAGGTGCCAAAGTCAAAGAAATTGACCTGTTTTCGTCTTATTTGTTGCAAAATTGACTTGGAGCAGAAGAAGCACAATTGATTCAACAGTCCTTCCAAGTTGGAATTGGAATTATACCAAATGTTAAGTTAACCGTCTATCGATGTGGGTGTGGAGATTTCCACCTGAAAATTACCGCTCTGATGCCGATAGGTCCTGACGATGTGCTATGCAGCAACATACAATAAGAGGCAGGTACCTTGATTGTTCAATTTGATGGTTCTTGCTATGCTGACAAAGGAGTAGGAGGGGCAGGGGCAGCCTTATTGGAATTGCAGACACAAGGCGTAACTCTCCTGCAATGGAGGGCTCTAGTCCAAGTGCCCTGACAACATTTTTGCGGAAGCTATGTCTGCAAACCTTGGTGCTGACCTACTGAGTGAAGAACTGGTGCGAAGGAAGTTTGGAGTCCAGCAAGCGTATTTACAAGGGGACATCCTCCCAATTATCAAACATCTGTCATTTGCAGGACGCTTTCGAAGAATAGATTTACAA